TCATAAGTCCCCTAGAATTAAAATACAAATTCAGGGAAAGGGAGTGGTGTGGCTTCACATGCAGATTACATTTCCACTACTCAAACAACAAAAACTTGTAATCAAAATTAAGGCATTATAGCAAATTATAGTTTTCACAAACCAGAGTTTCTGTCGTGAGGTTCAATCTCACTATTCCACTGCTGCCTTGCCTGGCAGAGGCCTATGTACTCACAAGCATTATTATTTCATTTGATCCTCACAATTAGGATCACCTATGAGGTAGGTACTTTTATTACCCTATTTAAAGACGAGAAAAAAGAGGCTCAGAGAAGTTACATGGTGCAGTCATTCCCTCAACACCCATTCTCCCTCTTCTGGAAAGAAGCCCCCCAATTTTACTTGGGGATCTACCCTAGCTCCACTCACAGTCCATGTGTCCTGGGGCAGGGCTCCAAACACAACTCCGGGCCTAAAACAATCAGATCACTACCCGCCTGAGCGATTTCTTGCAGGATAGGTGAGTGATCTAAGTGGATTTAAATGGAGCATCCCAGGGTTTCACAGGATCTGCTAGAGAAGGGTCTCGTGTTCCCGTCTGGACTTGAACTTGAGAAGATGGGAGGCTGAGACCAAAGCCAGGCAGCAAGCAGACTCAAAGATGGAGAGAAACTGTCTTAGTGTTGAATCAGCTGAAAGCCAGCCCTAGCATGGAATTATTAGTCATATTAGTTATATTCACTTCCAAGGGCTGCCATAACAAATTATCACAAACCGGGGGACTTAAAACACCAGAATTCAACTGTTGCACAGTCCTGGGGGTTAGAGTCCAAAATGAAGGTGTTGGTAGGACCGTGTTCCCCAGTGAGGCTCTCAGGGAGGATTCTTCCTTGCCTTGTCCTAGTTTCTGGTGGTCGCCAGCAATCTTTGGCTTTCCTTGGCTTGCAGCTGCATGACTCCAGTTTCTGCTTCTGTTGTCACATGCCTTCTTCCGTCTGTGTCTTCACATTTTCTTCTCTTTGTGCATCTCTGTGCCCAAATTTGCCTCTTCTGATAAGAACACCAGGTCATTGGATTAGAGCCCACCCAAGATGACCTCATCAAAACTTGATTACATCTGCAAAGACCCTACTTCCAAATAAGGTCATATTCACAGGTGTTTGTGTAGTGGCAGTTGAGGGGAGGGTGTTAGGACTTGAACACATTGTTTTGGGGACACAATACAACCTACAATATCAGCCAATAAATTTCCTCTAAGCTTATCCACTTTGGTTTGGGTTTTTGATCTTTCATACTAAGAAAAAGTCAGGGCCAAGACTTACCCCCAGGTCTCTTATTATCTTCAGAGTCAAAATCAACAACTGAAACCCAAAGCTGGGTCTTTACTTTAATTAACCACAGAGCTGGTCTCTATACCTACTCAACCTCTCCTTTCCAAATATCAGTGGCTAGGCCAGGCACAGTGGCTCATGCCTACAATCCCTGCACTTTGGGAGGCTGAGGCAGGAGGATTCCTTGAAGCCAGGAGCTCCAGATCAGCTTGGGCAACATAACGAGACTCCATCTCTATTTTAAAAAAATGGCTGGGCATGGTGGCACATGCCTGTAACCCAGCTATTCAGAAGGCTGAAGCAGGAGAATCCCTCGGGCCCAGGAGATGGAGCTAAAGTGAGCCACGATCGCACCACTGCACTCCAGCCTGGGCAACAGAGTGAGACCTCATCTCTAAAGCAGCAACAACAAAAACCAAAAATCAGTCTCTACTTTGGGTGGAGGCCCACAGTTAACTGTCTTCTGCCTACTGGCTCCTGCATACAACATGCTCAAGGAATAGGAGACTGATTGCTATCTAATTAACCAAAATTCAAACAGTGAAATGGAATTACGTATAGTTTATCATAGAGTAGTGGGCTGAGCAATGACCAGGATTTTTATCTTGGAAATAAAAAGTTATTGATTGCCTGCATAGCTGCACTTCGAAATGTCTCCAATTTTGAAAGCTCACCTCAGGTGGCAATAAGAATATCTGCCCCTCCCCAGACATTTAATTTCCAAAACAGAACCCCGGCCATGCTTCTTTCACATGCATGGGTGTGTTTACTTCAGGGCCTGAGAAAAGGCTGTAATTTCAGCTTATTATACCAAATATGTGAAAATAAAACTGATCTCTGTAGGATCGTTTTAAATGAAAACTGCTTCCTTGAGGCAAGTGGAGTAAGCAAACTGATTGAAAGAGAGGACAGGGCTCTGGGCAGGTGATGATGAGGTGAAAGAGAGGTGATGGAGAGAGGATCCAGGGTGGGAGGCAGCACCCAGGACTTCTGCAGAAATAAATGCAAGTCCACGAAAATCCCATGTAGTGCAGATTAGTTGTGCAGCGATGTCTTCCTCAGGTCCTTTGCCAGGCCCCCAAATCACTTTGTAACACCACAGCTGCTGAGCACACTCTTCCCTGAATCTTACCTGGCTGGTACCAGACCCAGTCACACCCATGGAACCCCTGCCAGTCAAACCTGATTGGGCAGGGGAAGAATCACCTGGGCAGCTCAGCTTGTAAGAAAGGCAGATCAGGGGGCTGTACCCCCAGGCACTTTTGAGCAGTAGGTGTATTAGTTTCCTGTGACTGTTTGATATGGTTTGGCTCTGTGTCCCCATCAAAATCTCATCTTGAATTGTATTCCCATAACTCCCACGTGTTGTGGGAGGGACCTGGTGGGAGATAATTGAATCATGGGGCTAGTTTCCTCCATAATGTTCTCCTGATAGTGAATAAGTCTCATGAGATCTGATGGTTTTATAAAAAGGAGTTCTCCTGCGCAAGCTCTCTCTCTTTGCCTGCAGCCATCCATGTAAGATGTGACTTGCTCCTCCTTGCCTTCCAGCATGATTGTGAGGCCTCCCCAGCCATGTGGAACGGTAAGCCCATGAAATCTCTCTTTCTTTTGTAAATCACCCAGTCTCAGGTATGTCTTTATAAGCAGCATGAAAACGGACTAATACATTGCTGTAACAAATGATCACAAATCAGGTGGCTTAAATAACAGAAGCATATTCACTCACAGTTACAGAGGCCAGAAGTCCAAAATCAAGGTGTCAGCAGTTGTTTTTTTCTGGGGACTTTGAGGGATAATCTGCCTCTTCCACCTTCTGGGGGCTGCCAGCGACCTTTGGCATGCCTCACCATGTGGCTGCATCACTCCAATCTCTACCTCTGTCTTCACACGGTCTTCCTTTCATGTATCTCCATCTTCCCATAGCCTGCTCCCTTGTGTGTCCACAGCTTAAATCTCTGTCCTTTCTCTTCTAATATACCAGTCATTAGATTTAGGACCTACCCTAAATCCAGGGTGATCTCATCCAAAGATCCCTAACTTGATCATATCTGCCCTATTTCCAAATAAAGTCACATTCGCACCTACTGGGGTTAGGTCTCAGATGCATCTATGGCAGGCAGGGGGTGGGGGGCAGGCGGGGTACATAATTCAATTCACTACAATAAATATGGGAGAGATCCGTAAACTTGAATTTTTCACAGGCACCCAAAATGACTCTGATGCAGCTGATCTGTAGGCCATACTCTAATAAACAGCAATCCAGTTGCTGGGGACTCAAAGTTGAATCAGATATGGTCTCCTTCTCTGGGGAGCCTACCATCTAGCAGAAGATACAGACAGATGAGAAATGATTAAAATAGAAAGTGTGGCCTAGCGAGGCTCAGACAAGCAAGGCTCAAGCAAGGAGTCAGACAGACCAGGATTCAAATCCTGACTCGTCCACTTACCAGAGGTGAGGCTCTGAGCAAGTTCCTTAGCCTGTCTGAGCCACTGTTTCCTTATCTGTAAAATAAGAAAGAATTCCTACCTTATGTCATTGTGAGTATGAGGCCATGTAAAATGCTTAATATGAAGGATGCACTCAAGAAATAGTCATTAGTTATTATTAAGGTGGGAAGTAAGACCCATTTTCACCTCCCCCATGGCCCCTGGCTATGTGTTCACCTCATGTTTGTGAAGTTAAGGAGGCATTACTCTGGAGAAACTCTGCTGGGATGCGCAGGCAAACTCCTGAAGGACCTACTTCAGGATCCACTGACTTATTCAACAAACATTTTTTGAGCACCTGCTGCATACAGAGCTCAGTGTATAGGCCCTGGAAATAAAGAGCCAAACAAAGCACACAGCCTAGTGAGGAAACCCATTGTTACAATAATGTGGTCAGTGCAAGGTGGAGGTAAGCCCAACCCATTGAGGGGCACCCCTGCCATTTAGCACTTGAAGTCATTCCATCCTTTAGTTCACTCTTACTGTCTATGGTGTGACCTTCCTCCCAGACTATATCATGAAATCCTTAAGAGTTCTTTGAGGGTAGGGGAGTTGTCTTATTCACCACTGAATCCCAAGAACCTCACAATGTACCTGACTCCTAACAGGCACCTGATATGCAACTGTTGGAGTAGTGAAGATTCTGCTGCTATTTAAGGGCCTAACACCGGACTTCTAAGAAGAACTACCTCCAGCTCCTCGACTACTAAGTATGATTCCTGATGGGACCAGAAATAAGGTCCCCAGAGGATCTGTCCCTTGACATAAAGCCTGTCAGTTTGAGAAGATGGAGCCAGGCTGCAATACAATGGATCATAACACCAGACAGTTAGGAGAGCTTTCAACTACTAGACCAATGCTGAGCAAACTAAACTAGGGCAGAAGCTACCGCATGTCATTCCTCTTCAGAAACACAACGCTCTGCACACACTGGGCATGAAGCACTATTATCAGACTGACCTGGAGACCCAGAAAACGATGAAAGGAGTGAGACAGTAGAGGGTTTCCCTTCCCATACCCCACAAGGGAAAGATAAGAGCAAACTGATACACCCCGCATTGTGTACACAGGATTAAAGAAAAGGAAGCCCCAAGTTGGCCTTGGGCTGGAGCTTGGTTTTCAGAAGGGAGAAATTCCCTGGCATGGGTAAGTAACACCAGGAACTGCCCCCACAAATGGCGGCAAATCAGGGCAACTTACCTGCGAGAGGAAGACATCCGCGTTCCCTCTCACCTGGAGAGGCCAGCAGCTTCTCTTAGCGGGGACTGAAGAGCAAATAGCATAGGAGGCTGAAAGCGGACCCCCAGGGTATGTTTATGGCAAAAGAGTCTCAGGGCAGGGGGACACGTTGTTCTGTGCTTCCACAAATCGAATCACTTCTGCACTTGTGTTTCACTTTTTTGATAAATGCCCCTCCCCACCTTACACATGGTAGGCCCGCAGTAAACACGTGTTGACTGAATTGAGCAAGTGAATGAGTGAACGGCTGCGACGGACCCCTGAACTCCCCCAACTCGAACCACCGAATTCCACCTGGCCCAGGTGCCACCCCAGGGCTCGGATTCTCCCCCATGGCACCACCTTCCCGTTTCAGTCCCAGGCGTCCAATGGTTTGGCTCCACAACAGTGGCGAGCAGGCAGGCAGGTGGGGCTTGGCACCTTCTCCTCCCGGATCCCAGGGCTTCAGCCTCCAATCCAGGGCCAACCCCTGCCCGGGGGGAAGGCCCCTCCCCAAAGGCTGACACCAGATGGCGCGGAAGAAAGTGGCGCCCGCGCAGACCCGAAAGTGCGGGAGGAGCGGCGCACCTGGCGGGGTCGCGCGGGGGCGGCAGCCGCGGCCGCTTGGGGTGCGCGCCCCCCGCTAGTCCCTCTCCTCTCTGTCTCTCTGGGGGCGCGGGCCCGGAACGGCGGCCGCTCGGCCCGGCCCATCCCGCCTGGCCGGCGCCGAGGCCTCACCTCGCTCACCAGCCCCTGCCAGTCGCTCTCGGTCCGGTCGCCGTTCATGGTCTCCTCCTCCATGCGCGGGCCGGCCTCCTGGACCCCCGCCTCCTCCTCCTCCTCCTCGCGGCGTCACCGCCGCCGCCTCCGCTGCCCGGGCCCCGCGCGGCCCCGAGAGGGCCCGGCGCCTCCGAGCCGCTGCGCCGCCGCCTCCCGCGGCCGCCCGCGCTGTTGACTCCACGTCAGCCTCCGCGGGAGGAAAGGGAGGAGGGGCGCGGCCGCTGGGGCCGCAGCCACAGCCCGGGCCGCAGCCGAGCCCCGCCGGGCCCGCCCTGCGTCCTCCGCCCACGAGCCCCGCTCCCTCAGCCCCGCGACCCCGGGCTCCGCGCCCCCTGCCCGGCCTCTAGGCAAGGGGAAGCCGGGGTCTCAGTCTACAGGTCACATCGGACCCCTCAGCGCTCTGCGCGGAAGGCGGGCCCCACGGGCAGTCCTGTGTCCCCTGCAAGAAACAAATCCCCAAATCCAGTCCTCCTCCAACCACCATCACGACTCCCACCCGTAGAATGAAAGCTCCCCGAGGGCAGGGGTTTTCTAGGTTCGTAGATGCGCCTTTGGCACGATCCTGGCCCATAGGAGATGCTCTACAAATATTTCTTGAACGAATGTTTGTTGAATGCAAGAATGAATGAACCGCGTTTTATTATATACTTAGCATTGTTTTTTAAACTATTAATGTTTGCTTATATTTACTTTTTTAACGGTTCCGCTGTCATACATAGAAAGCAAATGTAAAAATTGAAAATAAAGCATTGTTCAATTGTGAATAGGGCCAAAAACTCTGAGGGAGATGGTTAGCATGGGTTCGGAGAGGAGTCAAAGACAAATTGGCACTGGTGGCATTCTATGGCTCATGCCTTAATCCCAGCACCTTGGGAGGTTGAGGCAGGAGAATCCCTTGAGGGCAGGAGTTCAAGACCACCTGGGCAACAAAGCGAGACACCCCCTCTTTAAAACAATGAAATAATTAGCCAAAAGGGAAGACATTGGCATGAAGCTGAGATTTCTCCTAAGAGGAAGGACTGAAACTGAATGACAGAGGAAAGGTGTATGACAGAGGAAAGGTGTATCACACACATAATTGTATTCAGTGTGGTGTTCTTATGACACCTAAAATCCCTTCTTGGACCAGCATCAATAGTGAGCCCTCTGTACTCGCAGAAACGCTGTGTGTGGAGATGAGCAAGTAGGTTGAGAAGTTGTGAACCCATTGTACAGTTGTGGAAGCATCATCGCCAACATTTATTTATAATTTTTTAGCCCCTGTTGATCCTGGATCAATCCTGTGAAATGGATGTTATCCCCATCTGTCAGATGGGGAAACTGAGGCCTGAAATGTGGAGAAACAGGGACTCAACTAGGACTTCTCGCTCTAGCATCTTGAAAATCTAGGAATGAAGTATCACCTTGAAAGTTTGTTCTTGGCCTTGTTTTGCACATGGTAGATTGCAAAATGGCTGCAATCATTCCCCTTCTTTGTCCCTTGCCCTGCCACAGTCTCTAACTTTCACTCTGTGCTCAGTCATGTAACTTGCTTTGGCCAAAGCAACATTTGTACATGTGTTACTGGAACAAAAAAATAAATAAATAAAGGCTTTTAAATCAATTGTGCATCGGGACTTACTCTTGCTTCTGCTCTTGGAAACCTGTGATCACCACCTTGTAAATAAGCTCAGAATAGCTTGCTGGTTAAGATAGGATTCCCAACCAACAGCCAACCATCACCAGATGTGTGAGTGAGGCCACTGACTACCTCCCCTCCGCCACCCCAGCTGATGACAAGCACATGAGTGAGCCCAGCTGAGACCAGCAGAAGAATCACCCAGCTGAGCCTTGCTCAACTAGCTGACTCACAGCATCACATACTAAATAAATAGTTGAGTTTAAGCCACTAAGTTTTAGGGCTATTTGCTAGGTATCAACAGGTAACTGAAATGGATTGTGACACAACTGATGAAGGGCCTGAATGGCTCGAACTCTCCCTGGCAGCCCTTCAAAAAGCAACAGTTTCTGGCGTCATAATCTAAAGAACTGGCTGGCATAATCTAAACAGACTGGCTGGCCAGGAGCTAAGAAAAGGAACCGGCATATTAGTCAGCACATTGGTTTTCTGCCTGTTGTATACAACTGCAGCACTCATCCTGGGGAAGTTTAATAACATTGCACACCATGGTCCCTGTCCTAGGGGCTTGCAAACTAATGTGCTAGAGAATGACAGAAAAAAAGTGGGAGCTAGAATGCAGCTAAAGTTTCTCCTGGTCTTCTGACCATTCTGGGCTGCCTAACTCATTATCTTTTTAATCTAAGGAGGTAGAAAGAAGGTCATCCTTGAGCTGAATGTCTAGAGTTAATTAACTCAGTGCCAAGCACTTGTTCCTAAGCTTGACGTCTCATGCCTAAAAAGCAAGGTACTGTTCGCCAATATATTGCCCTCTGGCAAACCATCTGTTTTCATCCTGACCTGTGGATGAAATAGACTGTAGGAAAAGTGGGCAGAACTTGGTCCATCTGCCTTTTGAGCCTCCTTGTCTGCACTTTGCTCTCTGCCTGCATTCAGGTGGGAAAGCCCATTCCAGTTTCCACAGTTAACTGAGCCCTTCATGATATACCACTGCTCCTTTGGCGCCCTCACTGGTATTTCAGGCAGCAAGACAGACCATCAATAAGTGTTGGGAGCCAAGAAATCTTCGCATTCCAGACTATGTGCCTTTAAGACCACTGTCCCTGTGACTCCATTTCCCCTATTTGCTTTCCTTCTCTGAAATAAGTCAGACAGTTATTACGGTATTTAAAAATAAAGTTGGGGAGGAAAATCAAAGCGTGACAAGCCTCTACCCTCCCCAGAATGTGGAGAGATTTCAACTCAGTTGAAACAGCATCTCTAGCTGCCTGGGTTTTCCTTGGAGGTTTCATGCCCCAAGTGCCAGCTCAAACCTGCTTCGCTTGTGAGATGCGATGAAATCACAAACCAAGGCAATGTAGCTGCAAGCGATTCTTTTTTATCTCTTTTCATTTATGTAGCCTGACATTGAGTAATAATAATAATTAAATGCAGTTTAACGTTTTAGGCACCTATACCAGAAGGCCTCTAGATACCTCATCAACAGCAGCCCAGACTGACAAAAAAGAGAGCTAATTATATTGTGGTTAGCTTTTTTCAAAGAAAAAATAAACCTATACACCAACTATCTTTATCCCTGATAAAAGCATTACATTAAATGTCCCATCCGACCGTCCATTTGCACAGGACCACTTTAAAACCTGGTGCCCTTGTCTTAAATGTGCCACCCTGTTACAAAGTATTGAAACGTTTGCTTTAGCCTCTATTTTCACATCCCCTTAGCTTTCTGAAAACTCATCTCTAGGGACCTAATTTTTCCATATATATTCATAGCCCCAGGACCAGTTTTATTGATTTATTTATGTGCACCTATAGTGTTAGAAGAAAGTACTTAGATGCCTTTGAGTAATGCTTTTCACTTTTAAAAGTTTGAGAGGATTTTAGATGTGGAAACTCCAAAATAACTTAATCTAAAAACTTGAGCCAGCACAGACTGATGAAAACAAAAAAAAAAAGTCTCTGGAAATATTGGGAAAGAAAGGATGATTTGAACTTACTGTTAGCAACCTAAGCTTTCATTATGGGTTCTATACTGACTTGCACGAAGACTCTGGCCAGGTCTCAGCAGCCCCAGACATGCGGGAAAGCCCTAAAGCTTTTGATGTGACTTCTCCAGAGAGTATTTCAGTTCAAATTCTGGCTGCCCAAGCAAAATTCTGGCTGTTGGAGTTCTCATTAAAGGAAACTAAGCAAATCTCCAGTAGAGATTTTGGCCGGGCTTGTCTCTGAACTATATAGTTGGGGCAATATTCATGGCCATTTTTTTTCCCCAGTGACTTTTCTCCAGCCTCAGTTAAGAAACTCAATCTGGGCAGAAAACAATTCATAATGACTGTGGTTTATAATGGTGTGTGTGTGTGTGTGTGTGTGTGTGTGTGTGTGTGTGTGTACATACATATATTAATTAGCTCTATATGAGCCAGGCGGGCCATTTTGACAGGTCCTGCCAGGAGCCCCTATAGCCTGGGTGCTAAACTACTTCATTTCCTCTTGGTTTTAACGAGGGTCAGGAGACTGCAGGTCCTGGTGAGTGTCATAGCCAGGCCTCCTGCAGAGGCCTGAGACCTGAGGTCCCCTGAAACACTGGCCTCAATTCTGTAGAAGATAAGCCTCTCTCTCCTCCCCCTACCTAGAGGTTCTCTGGGAGGGACCTCATCCATCATTTCCCTACAGAGGCCAGCAGCCAGACACCAGAGGGGCAGATGGGGGATTCTGGCCGGGTTCCTGTCTCAGGGAATCCTCTGTGTGTCTTAGACCCCTGAGCTCCCAGGTCCTCTCACGGCCACCCCTGCCAAGCCCTCCCTGCCCAGCGGCAAACAATCAGCGCGAGCTGCTCCCCTCCAGCCCCGCTGGCTGCCAATCAGCCGGGCAGCAGGGGGTGGAAGGAAGTTGTACTCCCTGCTGAACCGCAGCACTCAAAATGACTGAGTGGGGCTGATGACGGCCTGGCAGGCCGGGGACCCGTAGTTGTCACCCTAAGGGGGCACAGGCTTGGGCATGATTGGCTTGGGCGTTGCGGGAGACAAGGGGTGGGGAGGAGCAGAGGCGGAAAGGCCACTCCTTGGCTGTTGGAGAGGTTCCCAGAAGGGGGGCTAAGATGTCAGGAGGAAAGGAGGATGACCAGAAAGGAGTTGAGAGACAGAGAGAGAGACAGGGCCTGGGGCGCTGGAGGAGACGCCCAAAGATAAAGAACCACGGGAGGAGAGCGGAAAACCACGGGCGCGCCGGCGGGGTGGGGAGAAACCCAACCCCAGGCTGGAGGGGGAAGTGGATGGAGATGCAGCCCACGGAAG